TACTAAAGATATTGTTCTCGACAACCCCGAGAACAAATTGAACATATTCTTTCTTTTTCCATTAGGGAAAACAATACTATAGCTGAAGCATGATGCTACCAATTAGTCCATGCAAGATTGTCATGATAGGACAAAGCTCAGTTATTCAGGAATGCACACCTCTTATTGGTACTTTTTTGAACGTATATCTACGAGATTCATTTTTTTGCACTCAAAACATAAACAACAGTAATTTTTAAGTGGATTTAAAAAAAAAATCTGAGCTTATTTATTATTACTATTAAAGTGACTTATTTATATATGAAGTCACAAAGACTATAAATAGCTATGGCTATGATCCATGAGGCAGTTGAGTACATACTACTTCCTGTGAGTAGGTAACACTACACAACAGTTAACAACGATAAATGTTATTTTTAGTCAGTACAAATGTTTGATTTGATTTCCTTGTTTTTTAATTTCTTGAACAGTGATGAATGAAAATCAAACTAGTGAACTTTGTATATTAATTTCTTGATTCTTAATTTCTTAGGCTTCATTCTTAGTTGGTATTCTCAGCATCCTTCTGTAGAACTATATTTCTATTGCCTCCAGTCTTCTCTTCATCTGTGAGAGGATTGTTGAATATTCACTGCCATAGAGTGGGATGTATATTACATAGAAGTTCAACACTTTTCTTTGTTTGTAACAAAATTTTCCTGTATTTTAGTACTTTGCTTAGCTTTTGGAAGGCATTTTTCTTGTAAAACCTTGTTGTATTAATGCTTTATTTCATGCTTTATTTCAGTGAGCTATTGTAAATCAGATTCATGATAATATTTATAATAATGAATTAGGAATTCATTATAATAATGAATTTGTTCCGTCTTGTATCAATTTCAATGCAAAATAAAAAAAATATAAAAAAAATACTTAGGTTTGATTAGTTTTACTGAAATATGTTAAGAAACAAAATCAATGACTACCTTTTCTTTCTTTCATTTCTGGCTTCTCCAGACATGCCTGACTTCAATGATTTATACGGACTTTAGATGCAACAGAGAAAATCAGCATCTTGCAAGTGAACTGGGTTAGAACTTGCACTTGGTGGAGCTAGAGAATTGTACTCTCAATTATACCTGTAATTTATAATCATCAAATCTATTGAATCATTGAACTGTGTTGATTGATAAATCTTAGAAATGGATGATTATCTTCTGCCTTTCTTTGTTTAGTCCAGGTGCCAAGAAACTATGGTCCATGTGCCAACTCTTGTCTAACATGTTATTTCATCTGGCTCTTTGACAACAAGGAATATGTTATTATTTTTTAATGATAATTTGTTCATGTTTTTCCTTTACAAGAGGATGCTGAAAAGTCTGTGACCTGACCAAGAATGAATTCAAAAGAAAAATTCTGATATTTGGAGAGTAGGTGTTAACTATTCATTACCTGCTCTGTAGGAATTTCCTGAATGCTAATGGTAATAATACCTACAAGAAAACATTTGACATTCATTGACCAAGCAGCCAGTACTGCTTTCAACTGAAATTTATAAAATCTTTCTCTGAAAACAATTTCTTAGAAAAATAGGTTTCTCAAGTCCAGTAGCTGTTATCAATCTTTCCAGTATTGATGGAGGTTTCCTTCATAACCTTTTCTTTGAAGTAGTGTGGAAGGGTACCATGATACAACAGCTAGTCAGTCAGCTGTTGTATTCTGGTAGACTTGCATGTCTTTTAGTCTACCAATTGGTGTGTCTACCTATGAACTTTTCAGCTGACTCTTCTTAGTACTTTTGGCTAACACACACGGGTTTGTTATTTTCTTATTTACTTATTTATTTTTACAGTAAAGTTCACCTTGTAGAAAGCCCTGTACCACTTGTGGTAGAGGGTTACCTTAAGTGGCAGTTTATATGGCTAGGAGGAGGTGATGCTGATTAACTCGAGACTTGAACAGATGATGACTGTAGTGATCAGAAAAACATCCTCTTGGGAGTCGGCTCCACAGAATATTGGTTCGCATGAAGAAGGTGTTTGACTTTTCGTTGATGGTATATGGAGAGAATGTGGGTGGTTTGCTACAACATACATGGCATGGCTTGTCTATCCGTGAAGGTTAGACCTAGCAGAACAAAGGAATGTAGTTTGTCCGCGCACTTATCATAGTAGTAGCTCTAAAGCAGCAAGAGACTAACCACATACTGCCTGTGAGAAAGAGGTTGGAAGTTGGAAAATAATTCATCACCCAGAAGGTCTAAGAGACACTTTTGATCTCTTTTCAGACAACCCTCATATATAGCTATTAAACAGAAATGGCAAATATTTTCATTAGTTTTACCTATTTTAATTGATATCAATTGCAAACTGTTCCTTTTTTTCCTACTCCTGCTCCTTTCAATTGTTCTTTTGATCTTTTGTATTTTCCAAAACTTCATTTGACATTTTTCACAAAATCACTTATACTTGGCCTACTCTCTTTTCAAAGGTTCATTGATTTTTTTTGTTTGAATTTTACATAATGTTTCCATCATTGGTTTTGGAGTATAATCTGTGTTTCTATTATCCCATTTGTCAGCATGTGTGTGTGCCTGTTGATCATGAGCATTCATCACAGTTGTTCAAGAATCATAACATATTTCAAAAGGCTCATACAATTTAATGTGAAACGTTTTTTTTCTCTCTAGAATGAAAATGTATTGTTTTGATTTTATAATTTGTAAAAAAGGTAAACAGAATCATTGGAAGTTTGCTGCATTAACATCCCTAATGATAATTACAGGCAGCACAATTTTTGAAAGGCTCACCCTCTTTTCCCTTTGACTTTGGGAACGACAACATGCACTTTCTCTCTGATAAAATATGTAACATGTAAGTACTTCAGAGACGTCAACTGAAAATTGTGTTGAATTCTCACTAACTTCAATGATGAAGTTCATTTCTTCCTTACTCTTTTGTAACATGTTTTGTTAATACATTTAGTAATTGTTGTTTGTTTAAATTCATTGTCTTATGTCTTCATTCCCTGGACTTGCATAAGTCTGCCAAATATTGTTAGTGGGGCAAAGAATGATAATTCTTTTTGTACCACAACAAGTTATAAAGCTAAACATTCTGATTGCTTCACATGAGAATGAATTTTCAATAAATGCCCCTTCCTCTTAAATAAGTGCTTCCCTCAAATGAGTACCCCTTCTAAAGGTTCAGGCTCTAAACATGCACCTAGGCATTTACTTGAGAAAATATTTTACACACATTTAAATTACTTTTAAAAATAACATTACAGATCCTAATTTTTAAATATTTTATTTTTCATTACTGTTTGAAACTTTAAAACAAATAAAGGAATGTATAGGAATTAAATTCTCTATACATATTTCAACCAATAAAATCCCATCAGAAATTTTGTTTGATAAATAATCATTACAAGGACAAATACTGCCAAAATACTTGCGAACGTAGTTGTAGACCTACCACGTGTTATTTTTGGATCATTTAGAAAATAACAATAACTCCCTTTACCACTTCGGTAAATTTGAGAAAAAGATTTTTGTGAGTCAGTGTGAAATTATTTTCTAACAAAAAAAATAATTCATACCTCTACATGAAATTAGATTTCAGATCCCCCTTACAGATATAAAAATAGAAGCCTACTGCTTCTCAGGGTTCAAAACAGTTTCAGAGCCTAGTTTGATCTATATGTGCATGCACATACACCCACTCACATGCACACAATGAAAAGATAACAGCTAACAGTTGCTGACTAAGGCTTTGTCTACAAACTCACAAACACATTAGGCTGACCATCATAAAATAAGTCTGTACACACATTTCACATTGCACTACGAACACTTAATAACAAATAAAACAAATTTCACAGCAAGGAAAATTCAACATTTTATTGTTATTGTATATTTCTGAAAAGTTCAACTGACCTTCCTACTTTTCCTTCAGAAAATAACCTTTATTTATGAATCATTTAAAAGATGTGTCATTGTTGTTGTTAAATACTTGGAATCCTGACACTCAGATAACAACAAAAATCTGGTTAGACAGATCCCAATAAATGTTATAAATAACCAATACTTTTGTATTTGATGTGTCAGAAAAAACACAGTTGTACGAGTTCCCAACAACCATTTATTTAATAAATCCTACTAGGATGATGTCATAATTTAATAATTTATTTCTCCTCTTCATGTTGTCCCCTCATTCTTGAAGGCATTTAATCCTGCAAATGCCTTAAAATGATGTCTATTTGCTCCCTTATTTTCTTGTTTATTTCCTTTGTAATGGTTTGAAAGAATTGATTGGCACATAGGAATCTTCTGGAAACTAATAAAAGCATTAAGACAATTGAAAATATTGTTGCTTCATCGTCAGCGGTTTTATCTTGAATCCAAGAATTTAATTTCTTCTTTCCTGATCACTTCCTTTATGATGATGGCATTGATGTCTAAATTCACCCCCAATGCACATCTTCAGGACTAGAAGCTTCTAGTTTCACCAAAACCTGTTCCTGTCATCCATTCCCTATCAGAAAATTATTACTTACTGTGTCACTATATATCATTGGACTGAATAAAAGTTTTGGTCTATGTTTAATAAATCCTAACTGTGACATCACATAAACATTTCACAACAGAGGAGAAAACTTGAAAAGGCAACTTATTAGTAACTTATAGTAAATGTGACATAGAAATCCAAAGCACAGTTAAGAATATTGAATAGTTATCTTCCAGAAACTAATGATTGATTTATTTTTTATGACTTATCAACCTTTTTGTAGGAAAACCTTTTTTGGTTGTAAGAATTTTTTGAGATATTTAATGATTTACTGATACAAGTTCTACTAATAGCTGGGGGCAAAAGAGGTGGATTCATACTTTTTCAAAGGGTTTTTGTGCATAAGTAAATGAAACGAACTTAAGTGGAATAACATAAGTGAGACTTAAAAAAGTCGGCTCTCCAATTTCCAATACCAAGTTACCATCTATTATACCACTCACATATCTAATCTTACAGCACCTGGTATTCCCAAGTAGTCACCCATCTAGGTACTGACCAGGCTCAATATTGCTTAACTGCAGAGATGTACAAGAACTAGTGTTTCCAGAAACTCAGCAAAATATTAAGATATAGAAAAATATTGATACTTACTGTCACTATATATTATTAAAGTCAATAAAACCTTTGATCTATGTTTAAGTGATCCTACCTATGATATCACAGATTACTTGAATGCACACACACACACACATGCATACATATATATATATATATATATATATATATATATATATATATATATATTATATACAGATTCAAAAAGATTTGTAGGTCTGATGATTTTGATCGTGATTATGATTCCAATGTAATAAATTATAACCATGGAATATTAGTGTTTTGAGCTTTTTATTATATTATTACTCTGTCCTGGACATTGAGTTCTACCTGGATTCTATCCTCTTTGGGAACTTTTATATATATATATATATATATATACATATATATATATATATATAAAAAGTTCCCAAGAGGATATATATATATATATATATATATATATATATATAAAAAAGTTCCCAAGAGGATAGAATCCAGGTAGAACTCAATGTCCACTAATATTATCTATATATATACCGACCACTAATATTATCTATATATATACATACATACATACTGGCCACTAATATTATATATATATATATATATATATATATATATATATATATATATATATATATATATATATATATAAACTTGGAAAGGGCAATTTACACTACAAAAAATGTGACACAGAAATCTGTAAGAGCATAGACATCAATAGTGAAAATTGTTTTCTTGAAATTAAGCAAAAACTTAAAACAGAGAAAAATATCATCCGAATGGGGTGGGGGAGTGCTGAACAGTTACTCTGGAGTTCCAAATATAAGGGGATGGATTGGAATAATAATGGTGGGTGGAAGAATGTGAAAATATAAATGTTTATGTTTTGATTAACATTTAGTTGTAATGCAAGGTGATCCCATTAAGAACAAGAAAAAAAAACATTTATATGTATTAAGATTACAATGCAAAATCTGATCTGATTTAGAGCAGGGGTTCTCAACTAGAGCCAAATCCCCTACCATCACCACCGGAAGGAATTTCAGATTTTCAAAGTGGGAGAGGAAAATCTTTTACTTTTTCTTGTTTCCTATTTACAGAATTTCGAACCCGTCATGTGTGTCAAAATAAACTCCTCTATGAAAATTGTTATGAGACCTTACCCATAATAACATAATGGACTATTCCATATGTAATAAATACTGCGCCTCAAGAGGAAGTGGAGAGTTCAGTCTGAAGTCTGGAGTGAAGTCCGTCAGGAGTCTGTCAGTCAGTCAGAACGAGCGAGTCAGTCAGTCAAGTCAGAGGCAGTCCGAAACAAAGTCGTGTTCAGACAATTACTACTAAACCTGATTGTTCGTACTAACACTTTTCTTCCTCTCTGTATATATTCCTGTTTGTAATATATCTGTGTTATTCCATATCTGGCTTCGAGTTCTTCTTTATTGGTTCTACCTTGGACTATCACCGTGGTACAAGGAACCGGACCATAACAAAAATGTAAATGTTTACTGCCAATATGGAAAAGAATGAAGATTTTTTCAGTTGGACAAGCTTGGGGGAATGGCATTCTGACATATGGTGAAAATGGTGCACTTGATAAAACTGATTGAGAACTATTAGTTTAGACCAACAAATGCATCAAAACAGTGAGAATGTTCCAGAAGACCTGAAATTATACAAGTTGGAATTCTTTGAGAATATTAATATACAGGAGTGTTAGAATAAGAATGTCCTGAGTGGAAATATTTTAAAAAAAATGATTTGCTGGTAGGGGTTTCTATTCAGCACTTTATGCCAGTGAATGCTGGACATCATGTATGAGAAAGAGATTTGAAGTAACAGAAATGTTATTCTACCAGCAGATACTAAGAACACCATAGACAGAATATGTAAACAATGAAGAAGTCTTAAAGAAGATAAGTACATAATGAGGAAAGAAGGCAAAGAAATTTTAACACTCAAAGTACATACTGAAAGCATGATAAGTGAGGCAGAAACAGCAAGTAACCTACTTAACAAGTTTCTGTTAATGGTAATGCTAATATTGGCCATTTACTTAAAATGAAACATTTGACATTCATTAACTGAGCATCCAGTGCTGCTATTGGTTGAAATTTATATAATCTTTTTCTTAAAACAAATTTTCAAGAAAATAGATTTCTCAACTCCAGTAATGGTTATCACTCTTTCGAGTTTATTTGACAAGAAATAATTAAATAAAAATTAGTTAATAATTAAAGAAATGACAGGTAATTAATTACGCTAAAGTATTTCAACATTCAACATATTTAGATATTTCTGAACAGGTTTGGTATCATGCATGACATTTACATGAAAGTCTTGATCTAATGAGGCTATTTAAGAACATGACTGGAGTTTTCAAATTAATGTTTTGAAGCAATTTATGGTGTTGTGTGAAAGTACCTTTAGTGCAACCTATTATTTGTTTAATTCTTTGTTTATTCTTAACTTCTATACTAAATTTGTTATAACTGATCTATACACAAAGGTATTTGAAGTGTTTAGCATTTAATAATTCCATATGATGGATTCATGGTGTGTGCTATCACTTCTTTCATTCCAATTCCAGATCATTGTTTCTGTAATGGATGTCAGAGGAGGGACAAAGATGAATGGCAATGGGTTCAAAATTAGAGTAATAAGAAAAGGAAGTTGTAGAGAGCCATGATCACACATGGCCTGAAAGAGCTTGGTGTATAAAAGAAGATTAGTCTTTTGCAAGGAGATCACCAGATTTCCACGATGGGATAAAAAAAAATATTCTACTCATTGAAACAAATGTGTTCTGCCAAAAGAGAAATGAAAATTCAACAGGAATCACCATATTTTGCTCAGAAATTCTAATCTAATATTTGACAAGAAAAAAATTTGGCATAAAAATGTCTATAAAAAACTCACACATGAATTGAAAAGCATTTGAATGGAAATCATTGTATTTCCAGAGGACAAACACTTAACAAGCAGAAATTTCCCACAGTAGAAATCTGGTGATCTTACAAAAGACTAATCTTCTTTTATCATGGCTCTCTACAATTTCCTTTTCTTATTACTCTAATTAGCAAATAAATGAATAAAATAGCTGTAAAAATTAAAATAAATAATAATAAATAATTACTGGATAATAAATAAACATATTCAAATATCTTGAAATTCTTGCAATAAATAAATAAAGGTAAGTAAAAACAGGAAAAAAATCGAGGTAAAGATTATTACATTCCTGAGATTGATTATAAGAAAAATATATGAAAATCATGAATCATTTTAATTTCCACATTAATTCAGAAAGGAAATACACATCCGCAGTGAGTTCAAATTCATGCGATACCAAGAACATACAATTAATCAATTTATGATTGCCACTGTAGCAAATGAAAGGTTATTGGCTAATTTCTAATTTGAGAAACACTCCAAACGCCTTCATTTCTAAGAAAAAGAAAAAAATGATAACCATGTTGTTCAAACAACCAACAACATTTAATATTTTAATATATCTGTCTATATTTCTGAGATGAGGTATTGTAATTATTTAGACTATTTACATTGTTCATACTGTTGTCCTCATCTTTGTTAGCATATTCACGAGGATTCTGCCATTGTACGCTCTGTCCTTCTTCAGGATCTGTCTATATTTCTGAGATGAGGTATTGTAATTATTTAGACTATTTACATTGTGCTGACTGTTGTCCTCATCATCGTTAGCATATTCACAAGGTTTTGGCCATTGTACATTCAGTTCTTCAACAGAATCTGTCTATATTTCTGAGATGAGGTATTGTAATTATTTAAACTATTTACATTGTTCAGATTGTTGTCTTCATCTTTATTGCCATTTTCATGACATTTCAGCTCTTGTACGCTTCAGCCTTCATCAGGTGATTGGAATTTCAAGCTGAACCCTTTATTTCGCCCACTGAGATACATTGTTCTAGTTCCATGTGCCATTGAAATTTCACTCATCTGAAGAAGGTCGAGTGTACAACGGCTGAAACGTCGTGAACATGGCAATAAAGATGAAGACAACAGTCCAAACAATGTAAATAATGTAACATTTAATATTTATTTAATTTTACTATTGTTCACTCAATACAAGGCCCAAGAGCCATTCAATGTAGAGGATTATTAAATGAGGTTGTTGTAAATGTGTACAGTGAGGCGTACAGTTAATTTATGCAATAGTGAACATACATGAATTCACAAAATTTCTTTAACAAAAATAAAAATCTATCCATAAAAAGAAAATTCAACTCAACTTATTCCAAGTGGGTTTAACACATTAAAATTAAAAAGTCAAAAAAAATATTTTTGATGGATTTTTGTTGTTTTCCTATTATTTTTATTTTTTATTTTATTCTGTTTATTTTATTCATTGTCTTTTACATATTTGTTTATAGCAGATTAGTGCGATGTTTTTAAGTCCCAGGGCAGTTTTTGTTTGACTTAATATTTCAAAAATATTTCCATAAAAAGGCATTTCTGGGGAATAATAAGAAAACCATTTAAAATGAATTGTCATAAAAATGTGCAGCAGCTGACAATTTTATAACGGAATTTTTTTTTGGAACTCTTCTTATTAGAAAAGCAAAAAAGAACAAATCAGTCAGAAAATAGCAATAAAATCAATCACAATCAAATGAAACATTCTTAAAAAATGTCTTTCTTATTTAATCTCATTTAAAAAAAAAAAGAAAGATATTTCAGTTAAAAATAATTTATTCTGTTTTTGAAAATTTAATGGCTGCCTTATAACACTCAAATTATCCTGTCAGACAACATAAGGAGGAAAAATGACTGCATTTCCCCCAAAAAGATTATCAATAAGGGAGTTTTATTTTGTTTTAATAACCTGTTTCTTTTATTCTTATTTATCAGATATTTTTTAATATTTAAAAATTCATTATCAATTAGAAATTAGAATTATTCAAGGAAAAATATTTAAAAAAATCTTTGACAAATTTTTTCCTTTTTAAAAATAGAAATACTT